CCAGGTGGTCTTTTTGAAAGAGACCTGCAGCCCCTCGTCACTTAGAGCCTGAAACAAGGCCCTTGCCACGCGCAAGCCCTTAGCTGCGACTTGTTGAGGGTTGTTGCCACAGAAGTCCACAGAAAGATCGTCGACCCAGGTATCCGCTGTGTCGACAGCTTTCTGGTTGAGCACTTGGGAGCAAGCTGGCCAGAGGGCAACCTTGCTGAGTGCAACTGCCGCAGGGCAGCCTGCTAAGACGCCTCGACTGGCGTAAGCAGGAGGCCCAACGAGGCCATCAGCCGAGAGTAGTCGAGGTCCTCTGTACGCGCAGAGGGCGCCCCACAAGAGGAGCGGAGGAAACGAAACCTCTTCAGCATGCGCGAGGAGCCTGGAGTGGCTTATGGTCTCGTAGAAGCAACTGAGGTCCAGGTAAAGCGTGATCCGGTGTTCGTTCCGGGTTTGGGTACACTCATACTGAATGAGTCTTCTGACTGCAATGTCCAAGCAGGAGTGCCCAGGTCCACACGAATCCCACCACGCCTTGGGAGCGAATGTGTTCAGCCAATGGTCAAGAAGCGGCCACCGCAGCTTCATCCAAGATTTGAGAAGTATATGCATCAAAGCTATTGGCCTTTCGATTTCTTTGTTCTTTGGAAGCAACACCACCAAGGAAATGCACCACTGCTCCGGGAAACTGCCTTCCAACTCTGCCTGCCTCATGATGTCAGCTAGGAGCTGATACTGGTGGTCACTCAGGGCGCGGGCAAGGTGGGGCGTCCAACCGTCAGGGCCTGGGGCTTTCAGTGGAATGCGGCGGAGGGCCTTGGCAACTTGGGCCCCTGTAAGAGGTTGAAGCGTGCGGGCCTGCGCTCTGGCGCGGTGCTGCAAGTCCTGGAAGGCTGCAGGGGGTTGCTTGCCTGAGCTGTGCCACAGACTAGACCATTGTTGCAGTCTTAGTAGCATCCGGCTGTTGGCGGCAAACGTTTGAAATGGACGTTCAACTGAAGCTTCGTGCTTGCGGATGCATTTAAAGAGCGGCTTGAGACTGCCAACGCTGCTTTGGCCAAGCCAAGCGGCATAGTCCTCGCGTTGACTCCTTTGGACCTGAAGGCGTTCTTGAGCCTCGTCGTTGGTCAACAGGGCGATGGCGGTCTCCAGCTGCACCTTGGAGAGATCGGCACTGGGTGGCGAGGCTTCCCCTGCAATCACACCAAGCGTCGCTAGCCATGCCGGGGCTTCCTGTTCAGGCCCAAGTTCCTCTATGTACCCAAGGGCAAGCTTGTGCACCTCAGAGGGTAGCGGGGCCAGGGGCCGGCACTGTTTGAGAGCCTGCAAGGTCTGCGTGAGGAAGGCTAGTTGTTTGCCGTGCCACCTTTGCGGGGCTCTGTCATCCCTGAGCAGGGGTTGGTAGGCAACGGGCCTTGCAACCCCTCGGCCGTGCACAGCGTTAAAGACGCTGCGCTCAACACTGGTGGAAAGGGCCGCAAACGCCGCAGTGGTGCCACTGTTGTCCAGTTTCACCCCTCCGATGTCGAGGGTATCTCCGTTGAGGAGGCGGTGTTGATCCTGTGGGGCAGCGCAGCTGGCGCCGGGAGGGGCAACCCCATTCTCCGGCGCCGAGCCTGCAATGTCCTGATCGTAGTTCTGCACAACCTTGGTGTCGTACGGCCCAGGTGGGCCAGGGAAGGCAGGCAGAGTAGGTAGGTGGCACATGCCGTGTTCTAAGTTGAGCGTGAGGTTCAGAGCGAAGTGCGGGGCAAAAGGGACCGCCTTATCAACTGTAAGGGTGAGCATCGGAGCCACCGAGCGACTGGCAAGAACAAAATCGAGTGTGTTGCCTGTGCTGATGGCAGCTGCCTTATCCGCAATGATCTCGGCTCCGAGGGTGGTGTTGATGTTGGTGCTGGCAAACTTATCAACGTCAACATTCCAGTCCCCTGCTGCAACCCAGTTGGGGAGCGTTTTGGTGAGAGCCATTAAGTCGGCCAACAAGCTGGCGTTGGGCTCGACATGGAGCCCTGTGCCGGCCTTGAGGTAGACTGTGATTACCACCAAACGCCACTTGACGCGGGGTAGTTCCACCGCAAGGTAGCCGCAGCCTTCGACCGTGCGTTCCTGCACCAGTCTGGGGTGCGACTGCCAGGGCGTGGCAACCACAATCCCGCCTTTGGATTGCTTGCCTTCTGTGGCTCCAGCCCAGAAAGAGTGCAAGCCCACTCCGGCCAGACTGGCCCTGGCCTGTTGCGTTTGCTCACTATTGAGGTGAGTCTCCTGGCCAAGAAAGCAGCTGGCCTTCGTTTGCTGGAACCACCGAAGAATGTCCGGGCGCCACTTAGTGACATTAGCGACAGCTAATTGGAGGGGCTCTCCTTGCTCAGGGCTGTACGCTTCTTCGGCTCCATCCAGGAAAGCCGCCAGCGTGTGCGTGTCAAGTGGGCCAGGAGTGCCAGAACAGTGTTCAAGAACACACCATGCTACCTGGCTTTCCAACGACTCTTCCGGCATCCGTTCTGACTCGACCCATTCCGCCAGGTCTATGGCGGCTTGATGAACGGCTGGGCGCTCGACAGAGTGCGATCGGAGGAGGGCCGCTAGATCGTGTATCTGCGGGATGCTATGCTCCCTTTCCTGACGTCTGCGGCGGCGCTTGGTCTTCAGGCTCTTTGGTTTGCTCCTCGTGGTCGGTCCGCACTGGCCCGGTGGCCCGCGGGTCTGTGAAATTGAAGTCCACGTGCTTTGTGTGCCAGTGTTGTGCCCAGCACTCGCTATGGCCATCGGGCTAGCGGGCTCCAAATCCTGGTTGGCCTGTGGTGCTTCGTCGGGGCGGTCAAAGTCCTCAGGAAAGAACCGAGGTCCCGTAAGGAGCTTCTTAGTTGGGCCAACACTGGCTTGAGTGTGTGCTGCCTGAAGGCAGCCAGGGCAGAGAGAGGAAAGGTCACTGTGCAGTTGCTGTAATCTCGGTAGGCAGGACCTGTGGTGTGGCAAACACCCATGGTCCCCGATGCCTTTCCTGATTGTGCGCATAGCGGTTTTCACTGCGGCAGTGAAAGCTTTCATCCCATCCTCGGGCAGCTGTAAACAGGGGAGGCCTCCTCCACACTGTCGGCAGGTATGAGGGCTGTGGGGGGAGGCTTCCTCTCCACTTGGAAACAGAATTGGGTGCAGCTCGACCACTGACGGGCCGGGGTTGCGCTCAAAAAGTGCAAAAGTTGAATTTGCCAAGGCTTCCGATGGTTGCGGTCCAGCACTGTTTAGAGAGACGCTGGTGCCGCTGTCAATGGGTCGCCTGGGAGAGCCCAGCGGGGCAACCCCTGCTTGGTCTCCGGTGGAAAAACCGCCACTAAATGTGGGGTGAGTGTTCGGATTGCTACTGCTCGGCTGCAGATCTAAATGCAAACCTACCCGATGGTTTCGCGTGCAGCTGGGGCAGAAATGAAATGATGCGGTTGGAAGTTGCAAAGAGGAACCTGAATCTGTAACATCCAGGTAGCACAAAGCACACTGCCTATTGCAGAAAGTGCTGTGCTTGGGCAGCGGTAGGAAAGGGGGGGAGCAGCGGGTCGCAGGGCTAGGACACACACAGGGAAAGGAGGTCCTAGTCACGCCTAGCCCTGCCCCTCCCCCCTACGCCGTGTCAGTGCGGCCCCTGCTGCGGGAGCGCCGCTGACTGTTGCTGTCTTCGCCTGCCGTACCAGAACCTTGCGTCGGGCCTGTGGCGGGTGGTTCCGCTTCCCTGGGCCTCATGTCTGCGTCTGGGACGGTAGCATTGGTTACTTTGCGGCGTTTGGCTGCATCGTCGATCGTGAGGCACAGCCTTTCCTTGATGTCCTGCAGGTGGTCATCGCTGAGCTGGGCGAGGTGCTTGAAGAATTCCGCCTCGATATCAGGCCCCCCCCCCGGCGCGATAGCCGCTTCAACCGAAGACTGAAGCTCGGTCTGGAGACCCGTCACGGTGTCTTGCTTTTCCTTAAGCGAGGCATCGAGGGCTTGCATGTCCCGCAACATGTCGTTGTAAGCCTTCTTATGCTTATCCAACTTGAGTTGCAAAGCTGACTTGCGCGTGATCAATAGCCTCAGCTCGGTAGTGGCGTCTTTGTACTTGCGTGACGTGTCTGTGAGCTGTTCCTGCGCGGAAAGGGGCTCGGGGGGTGGCTCCTCCACTGCCGCCCGAACCGCTGGTGGCAGCTGCGCGATGTGCTTCTTGAGAAGCTCGGTGAGATCTGGCGCGGCCTCCTGGGGGGCCTCAAACCCAAGCTTGAGCAGAAGCTCCTTTTGATCGTCTGCAGCGGTGGCAAAAAGGGCTCTCAGCGCTTCTTGTGCTTCATCGGGTTGTTCGCTGTCTTGCGAAGCCGCTGGCCGTCCTTTGCCTTTGCCTTTGCCTCCACGAGTGGTGTCTCGCGGTGCCTTAGCCGTGGGCTTGTTGCCTTGGGACAAGCCTGGTGGTGCGGATGGTGCTGGTGGTGTCCAGCCCGCATTCTCGATGGTATCCTTGACCGGCGCAGGTAGGGCTTCCCACACAGTACGCAGCGCACGCTGCGCTACATTCTGTTGCTTTGGTGCCCGGCGAGGCTGGGACCTTTCCCTCGTATCTCGGGCTTGTCCTCCTTGAGGCACGGGATTGGGCTTATTGTACTTGGGCCACTTTGCGCCGCATTTGTTGCAAACCTGCTCGGTCTCTGCCTTGTGACAGAAAACCCAGGAGTCTTTGCAGCGCTTGCAGACGAAATATGGCCTGTTGTCCTTCCTCATGCTCACTGAGTGAAAGTCCCTGTCGAGGTGTGGTACTCCACT